GGGGGCCCCCCCCGCGGGGGCCGGGGGGGGGGGGGGTGGTTACTCACTGGTCCCACTGGGTACCACGCTCGGAGCTAGGGATGGGGGGTGAACTCAGGCTCACGTGAAGGAATTTCCAACAGGAATTTGCTCACGGCAGGAAAAATGTCTCTGCTCCACCCAGCCCTGCATCTGCAGCTCCCAAACGGAGCATCCCCGGCAGCTCATCGCCCTCCCCACCTTCTCCAGGGCCAGTGCAGGCACGTTGGGGACAAAAGGAGCACGTTGGGGACAAAACATCCCTCCTCTGCCCAGCACAGGTCTCAGCCACCTACTTTCCCCATCACCTCCACCATCCAGCTCACCCCGAGATGAGGGTTTTGGGGAGCCCCAGGGCCGCAGCCAGGAAACGAAACAGAAATGAAGCAAAGCCTGGTTCTAGAAAAGGACTGAATTAATCATAGAAAAAAAAAAAAAAAAAAGGAAGGGGTTTGTCTCGGTCTCCGAAAACCCATTGCGAGGCTGAAGGGGGAGGGAAACAGCCCCCAAAAACTCATCACGAGGCTGAAGGGGGAAGGAAGCAGCCCCCCAGCAGGGCCAGGCTGAGTCTCCAGTGACAGAGAGACCATCCCGGGCTTCCCAGTGCCAGCCCAGTATCCAGGTTGTGCTGGTTCTCCCAGCAGCTGCCCTCTCCTGCACGGCAGAAGGGAGTGACCCGCTCACAGGGCAGCGATGGCCTTGGCAGCCACGCGGCGGCCCAGGGGCAGGCTGAGATCCGTGATGGCCAGGACAATTTTGGGACTGGACATGGTGGACACTTTCACCAGCTCCGAAACCTGCCCAGAGAGAGAGAGGAGAAACGTAGATAACTCCCAAAAGCCACCCGAGCCAGGCAGTGGGACTCCCCAAGAGGAACCCATCCGTCCCAAGGGAGCAGTGCCCCAAAACACCCCCATGACCAGGGGAGAAGGACCCCAAGGGACAGCCAAGGGACTCACCATGGTGAAGGGCATGAACTGGAGGATGCTGCCTCGGCTGCCCTGCTCCAGACAGTCCACACACTCCTCCATGAACCACTGGACAAACTGGGTGTGGGTACCAGCTGTCTTAGCCCCCAGGATGGAAGAGATGAGCAGGAAGAGGTTCGCTGCAGAGAGAGGGGAATATCAAAAAGCCAGGCGGGTTCAGGGAGGCTGGGGGTGGCCCAAGCCTCCTGCACAGGGGACAGGGCCCCAGCCAGTGTCTCAGCATGGCTGGATCTGACCCCACGGCCAGGTCTGGCTGCTGAGGAGAGCCAGCCCCCCACCATTACCTAGCACCCTGTTCAGAGGGTCCCTCATGCTGACGGTGTGGAGCTGGGAGGCAGAGAGTGAGCTGCTCATCGAGCGATCTGCTGGGAAGGAGAACATGTGTCAGGCTGGGGGGAGGCTACAACGGCCTCTTGGCCCCCTCAGGTGCCCACTCTGGCCAGCTCCAGCTCACCCAGTCCTTGGGCTCCAGGATGGGCTTTGCCCTAACCACCCTGTGGAGCTGGAGAGGTTTGGACCGTGGTCCTTGTCACCCCCTGTACCCAAAGGAGCAGAGGGATCATGGAATTGTCAGAGTTGGAAGGGACCTCTAGAGATCATCTGGTCCAACTCCCCTGCTAAAGCAGGAACGCCCAGAGCACATCACTCAGGAGCATCCAGGCAGGTCTTGAAGATCTCCAGAGAAGGGGACTCCACGGCCCCCCTGGGCAGCCTGTTCCAGTGCTTTGTCACCCTCACCGTAAAAATGTTTTTTTCTCATATTTGAATGGAACTTCCCATGTTCCACAGCAGCAGGGATGGTCTCTGCCCCGGTCACCATCCCTTGCACAAGCCCACGCATGCCCCAGGCGTGACAGAGCACAGGAGCCCAGGGGGAGGGCTCCACACGCTGCCACTGCTGCTCGTGGGGTGGGACACTTGGCTCTTGCACAAGCCAGATTGAGTCTGACCAAGTGGAATGGCATCTCCAAAGGGTAAGCGTGAGTGAGACCGTGACTCTGCTCCCTGCTCACTTTTTAATTGCAGCCATGACTCGTCCCTGACGCTCCAGGAGGGCACGAGCAGAGTTAATGCAACGTCACGAGGGGGAGAGGAGCAGAACCAGGCTCTGCCCCGGCCAAGCGCGCCCCGCACATCCTGGTGGAGCCAGCCAGATGTTCAACAGCTGCACAGCAGCACTCAGTTCTCACTCTCCGGGTACAATTTAGCTACCAGAGCTGAGGCACGTCCACCAAACCAGCAGCAAATCCCAGGACAGAGCAAAGGGATGTATCCCACCCAAACTGGAGCGCTGCTGGGTGCTCCTGGGGGAGAGGAACTGGGCCACCTCCGGTCCAACGGGATGGGAATCTCCTGGGAGAGCTCTTGTGTGGACCCCACAGGACACAGCCACTGCCAAAAGCAGCAGCACCCACCTTGTGCTGCGCTGAGGATGCTCACCCCCCCAAAAAAAAAAAAAGCAAGCCCTCCCACACTTTTCTCATGGAATCACATGAGTTACGTGGCTGCTGCAGGAAGCAGCGTTTCCACATCACTGCAGCAAACAGCCCAAAAAAAGTCCTGAATGTCACTGGAAAGAGGTGGGACTGCCTCAAAAGTTAAAAAAAGATAGTGAAATAAAGGGAAAACCCCGTATTTCAACAGTAATGAAACTAAGAAAAACCACAGGTTGATGGATGGGTTGAAAACTAACAAACAAAGAGCAACTTAGGACAAGAGCATCGGGAGAAACAATGACCAAGGAGCCTCCTGACTCACTGCCCAGGAGTCCAGACGTATGTGGGAGCCGTGACAGCACCCGCTGCAGCCTGAGGGCACCTTGGACACCCCCCCAGCACGTCCTGCCACAACTGTCACAACCCACAGCACGGACGTGACTGCAGGGACTCATCGGTTCCGCTCGCTGCCTCGTTAACGGCACTGGAATGTCAGGATTTAGGCACAGACATCAGGAGTGTCACCTCCTGCTGCAGCACAGCAGCTCTTCGGGCCCACGAGGACTGGCTGGGGGTGAAAAAGCTCTGACAAAACCTCCTCCAGACCCCCCCTGTGCAATGGACTGGGTTGGGTGGTAATGTCATGGAGGGAAGGTGTCACCTCATCCCCTTTCCTAAGTTGTTCTGACCAGAGAAATGAAGAGTTTGACCTTTTCTAAGGTGTGAAAGCTCCAGGGCAACAGCAAAACACTTGAGCACTCTAAATCTTCACCTGGCCAGCTTGGGAAGAGAAGCTTTTTTGTGCCAATACGTATCTTACATCCCAAAAAGAGCAGATAGGCAGCTCAGTGCCACCCCCAGGAGACACCCTCCCACCCACACTTACTGGGGCTGGAGAGGATGTTGGAGTCTTCCTCGTTGGAGCTGAGCAGGCGCATCAGCTTGGAGGGCTGTGTGTCGTCCAGAGGGAAGAGGCTGATGTAATCCTGGGGGGAAGGGGGAGCAAAGGGGGTTCAGCCCCACCAGCCCCTCTCTGGCCCTCCTCCCCAGGGCTGATGACCCCCCCATGGCCCAGGGCTACCATCTCTGTTCACCCACAGCATCTCAGTCTGGGCCAATCATATACAGACCATCTCATTACAGGCCCCCTTCCCCAGAAAAGAGAAAGAAGGGGGTTCAGCCCCACCAGCCCCTCTCTGAGGGGACATTCTGGCCCTCCTCCCCAGGGCTGATGACCCAACCTTGGCTCTGCACAGCCCCACGGCCCAGGGCTACCATCTCTGTTCACCCAGAGCATCTCAGTCTGGGCCAATCACATACAGACCATCTCATTACAGGTCCCCTTCCCCAGAAAAGAGAAAAGAAAACCTGCATTTTAAGGTCAAAGAACCTCAGTCAGCCCACAGAACCCGGCCTCAGCTCCCCACCCGCCCCCCCCCCCCCCCCCCCCCCCAGACACTGCCCACTCTTGTGCACAAAGAGCCTCCAACCAAACCCAGCTCCACACCAGATGCACCTCAATATCCTCTCGGTGCCTCTTCTTCTGCCTGGTGGAGGCTTGGCCCTTGTTGTGGGAGGAGTAGGAGCTCAGGGCACACCAGACGGCGAGCCTGGGGACAGAGCAGGGACACTGCCAGGTGCTGCCAGCCCACACAGATGACAGCACGCAGGCAAGGGAAGATGGCAGAGGCCAGAGCATGCTCCAGGACATCCAAGTCCCCTACTTCGTGAGAGGAACGGGGTGCAGGACACCAGCTGGGGAACTGGGTGTCTGGGATCCCCCTCCCAGCACGGAGCATCCAGCCCACACAGATGACAGCACGCAGGCAAGAGAAGATGGCAGAGGCCAGGGTGTGCTCCAGGACATCACAAGTCATCCCCTCTGTGAGAGGAACAGGATGCAGGATACCAGCCAGGGAACCGGGTGTCTGGGATCCCCATCCCAGCACGGAGCATCTCCCCATCTCCCCAAAACAGCCCACCCACCCCCAAGGACACCCCTGCCCGTGGGTCCAGGGTCTTACTTGGCCAGAGCCTTTCCTGGCGGGTCCATGAGGGTGTGCCACTTGGAGGAGTCCGTCAGCAGGTTGGGCAGGATGTGACCCAGCAGGGTCAGTGTCAGCTGTGGCATGTCCAGGCAGGGTGATTGTGCCCCTGTACTCAGCACTGGGGAGGCCACACCTCGAGTGTTGTGTCCAGTTTTGGGCACCTCAATCCAAGAGAGATCTGGAGGTGCTGGAGCGAGGGCAGAGGAGGGCAACGGAGCTGGTGAGGGGGCTGGAAAACAAATCGTATGAGGAGCGGCTGAGGGAGTTGGGGCTGTTTAGTGTGAGGAAGAGGAGGCTGAGGGGAGACCTCATCACTGTAGAGAGGTTGGTGCTGGTCTCTTCTCACAGGTAATTAGTGACAGAACGAGAGGGAACGGCTTCAAGCTCCAACAGGGGAGGTTTAGACTGAACATTAGGAAAGAATTTTTCACCCAAAGAGTGATGGGGCATTGGAACAGGCTGCCCAGGGAGGGGGTGGAGTCCCCATCCCTGGCTGTGTTTAAGGGCCATTTAGATGCAGTGCTGAGGGACATGGTGTAGGGGAGGACTTTGTAGAGTAGGGGAGATGGTTGGACTCCATGATCCCAAGGGTCTCTTCCAACCTAGACCATTCTATGATTCTATGATGGGGTCACACAGGCCCCAAGGAGTGAAAAGAAGGGCAGGAGATGGCAGGACACAGGGCCTGGTGCACTGGAACTCACCGCTCGTTGTAGAACTGCAGGGTGTTCTCGCCGTAGAGGGGGGCAGCCAACTGCCGGATCATCTGCAGGGACTTCTCCCGCTCATCCAAGCCCAGCATGCGGACGTGGGCCACCAGCCAGGCCACCGCACACACCGCCATGCTGCACACCTTCCCCTTGATGTTGTCTGTGATTTTCTAGGAGAAGAGATGGAAGTAGATGAGCACAGACCTGGGGATGCACAGGCTTTATCTCAGCGTCGCTTCCCAGGGCCTTGGGACATGATTGCAGGGTCCAAGCCCCTCTCTCCTCCACAGGGTGGAACCTGTCCCTGCCAGCCCCACTGCCACCAACGGAGCAGCATCAAGGGGCTGGAGCCACATCAGTTCCCCACCCAAGTCAAAAAGGAGCCAGGGAGCTCCACAGTGGCTGCAGGAGCCTTCAGGGCAGGAGGACAGGGGACCCTCACCCTGCTGAAGCTTTGGCCCCTCCTCGGGACACAAGGGTGTGCCCATGCCCCTACTCTGCCCCACACCATCCTCCCACCAGGCCCACCTGGATCGACTCAAAGGTGAGGACACCATTCTCCCAAGCGTTGAGGATCTCCAGGATGGCAGCCGAGATGCTCAGACATGCCTCATGCCACTTCATCTGCCTGCCAGGGAAGAGAGAGGGTCAGGCATTTGTTCAGAGCAGCCATAGGGCCAAGGAAAATGGGGTGGGGGCTCCTCTCCTGATCTGCCCCAGCCTGGCAGGGTGAGCTCTTACACCAGCTTCATCTCGGAGGAGTTGTTGAGGAGGGCGACCAGGGACTCCACCTTGGTGGAGTCGGGGCGGAAGCAGGGGTGGTCGGGGTTGAGGATCTTGCCCTCCTCGGGCATGCAGGTCAGCATCCAGGTCTCAAAGAAGGGCACCTCGCCCGCTGGGCTCGACTCCGACAGGATCACCTGGAGGGGAACCAGCACAGGGACTGTCACACGGCCTGCATCCCACAGAGACCCTGCCAGAGACCCCCCCCAACCCTGCCGGGAACTCCCACCTAGAGGGACCCCCACTCTGCTGGGAACCCCCACTTGGGGAGGGACTCCCACCCTGGGGTGCTCGTGGCCAGGGGAACAGCGCCACCCTGTGGCCTGCACAGACAGGTAAGCTCTTGCCATCACCCAGTAAGGCACTGGTTGGTCATCACCACATCACCCAGTAAGGCACTGGTTGGTCATCATCACCCAGTAAGGCACTGGTCAGACTTGGGGAGGGACTCCCACCCTGGGGTGCTCGTGGCCAGGGGAACAGCGCCGCCCTGTGGCCTGCACAGACAGGTAGGTGTTTGCCATCACCCAGTAAGGCACTGGTTGGTCATCACCACCCAGTAAGGCACTGGTCACCACCCCCCAGTAAGGCTTTGTTTCCCAGCCTGTGGGGGCTGTGATTTCCCCCCCTCTACCACAGGACTCCCCAAGAGACCACGGCCCATCTCAGAGCAGCACTCCAGTGGCTTCCCTCAGGGAGATGCCAGGACAGGACCAGTCCCGAGGGGCTGTGTGCATGGCAGCGGGGTCACCACGTCCTGCCCAGAATCCCTTGTCCCCTGCCTGCCGAGCTGAGCTCAGGGTCCCCAGCACCGGATCGGGGTGCAGAGTCCAGCTGGCAGCCAGCTGGGAGGGCTCCCGAGGGGGACACGAGCTGGGAATCCCGCACGCTGCTTCCTCCCTCCAGCTCACCATCACCCCAGGGACACTATTTTTGTCCAAAAAAAAATAAGTTTTGCACATCTGTTCAGCAGCAGCTGGTCAGGAAAGTGGCTCCGAGCCGGGCTGGGGGGATGAGACCTCATCGCACGTCCGCTCTGGGCTGTCTCCAGCCAGGACCCCCCCTCCCTCCCCACTCCCCAGGGATCGCCGGGCAGGCCCCCTCCACCCCCCCTTTCCCTCCCTCTCCCTGTTCCTGGTGTTTCGGTATCGTTTCGCCTCCCGACACGCGCAGATGTCGAAACCTGGAACGTTTTCAGGCAACCCAAGTACCGTTTCCTGAGCTGGGGCTGCAAGTTCCTCCTCTTATGGGGGAGGGCTGATGCCCAACTGGGTTGTGTGGGCCCCCCCCCCGGGCCAACCAGCACCAAACCAGAGGGGAAACACTGGGAAAAGCCCGGTGAGATCAGAGCAGTGCTCCCACTGATACCACGATACCATAAAGGGAGCACAAGCAAAGCCCTCAGGGAGGCTACGGCCACCCCTGCTCCATCGCCTGGCACCAACAGACCCTGCAGGGATGGATTTCTACCTACACAAGGTCAAAGGCACTGGGGGGCTTCACCCCAGGCGTTGGGGTGGCCGTGGGGACGGTGGTGGTGGTGGCAGGCTGGCCACTAGAGGAGGCTGGCAGGCTGCGGCGCGTCGGCAGAGCTCACAGGGCTTACCTCGGAGCCGTAGGTCTGGGCCACATGGCACAGCATGAGGAAAGAGATGTCGAAGAGCAGGGCCCGAACGGGGGCTCCTTTGGCTGAGGGAGGAGAAACAAAGACCTTGGGGCTCCCCAGCCTCGGTACAAGGAGGCAGGCAGGAGCCCTCTCAGCCCTGCTGCCCCCCAGGCAGCTTTTCTAACCCTCAAAGTGGTTATGCGTGAACAGGGGCTCCAAGGGATGTGCCAAGTGCCCCCCTCCACCCCGTCTGCCTCTGCTGGAGCCCCCAAAATGGCTTTGGCCTCCCATCAGGCAGCCCCAGCCCGTCCCCAGGCTCCCCCCGGCACCGTGGAAGGTCAGAGCACTCGGTGAGTTTCATCACACACAAAATGCAGAGTCCTTATCTGGGGCTCTGTGCTGACACATCACCCCTTCCAGGGAGGGAGCCGGGGCAGGGCCGGTCATGAGGGGCCCCGTGGGCTGGGACAGGGAGCCCCCCACAAGCAGGGAGCACCCCGCATTCGGGATGGATGTGCCACACGTGAGGGCAGTGGGTCCCCAGGAGACCAGATCCCCGATGGCACTCAGCCACGTCCCCCCCCAGCTTAATCCAGCCGGGCCCCACAGCGTCCCAGCACGTGGCAGAGGGGGGAGCACGGCTCGAACTGCCCCACGCAGGGATGTGCTCGCACTTACGGCCTTCTCCATTGATCTGCTTCGTGAATTCATTCAGCCTGGAGGGGGCAGAGAGAGCCACGGTGAAGCCTTATCACCACATGAAACGGGTGCCTTCCCATCCCTGAGACAGGGCCTGCAGACCCCTTCCTGCCCCCCATCCCAGCACCCAGCATGGAGGAGAGACCGAAGCGGGGCCCGGATCCGCAGACACCCTCCGGCAGAGCAGGGGATGAGCCACCTCCTCCCTCCCTCTGCTCCCCTGCAGCAAAACAGGTCCAGCAACGCTGCTTTTCCCCACGCCCAGCCGGCTTCGAGCACCGTCCTCTCGCCGGAGCTGGCTCTGCCCGGCTCCCTGGGGATTTCTGAGCGTGTGCCTGGGGATTTCTGAGCGTTTCCCTCTCTGTACTGCAGTGGTACAAACCCCCCAAACAGAGTGAGCATGGTGAACCCAGCCAGGTTGGCATGTTTTGGGCTGCCCCAGGCTTCCCCGCTGGAGGAATCACACCCCGCAGCCCCATGAGTGTTGGTTGTGTGTGCTCTCACCAGGACACGGGTGCCTGGGGACTGAAGGCACACACGGGAGAGCCCTGGGTGGGAGGCTGTGCCAGTGCTTTCAGTTCTCTTAATACCCTTAAACCAGCCCAACTTTGATCCTCTGCCCTGTTCATGCAGAAGCAACGGAGATGGGGTGCTGAGGGGCGCGGTCTCCCAAGACCCCAGCTCTCCCAAGGGCTCTGCTGGATCCAGTGCTGCAGAAACACTGGGACAGAGGCACATCCAGTCCTATCTAGGGGGTAGCTTGGGGGGCTGCCCACTCACCCCAGCCCCACCAGTGACCAGGGACAGTGTTGTCCAGGTGGACACTCACTTGATGAACTTCCGAGCGAAGGATTTCAGCTTGCCCGTCGCCGCGGCCGCTGCCAGCAGCAAGTCCAGGCTCTTCCCTGACAGCATGTGACCCAAGACCCCCAGCAAACCCTCGGGGGACTTGGAGTGATCTGCATCCATGGTCTGCAAAAAAAAAAAATAAATAGAGGGAAGAGAAGTCACAGGGAATGTGTGTCACAGGCAGCAGTAAAATCATGACCGTGGGGGCAGAATTGATCGGCTGCCAGAGCTGTCCCGTGAGGCCTCAGTGAGCAGGGACCCCCAGGGCTCAGGGAGTGTGGGGATGGAGCCCTCTGTGCCCCTGGCACCACAGGGCACAGCACAGGGGAGAGCTGCAGGGCACCGGGGCAGCAAAACCAGCAGCAAAACATCCTCTCCTGCTCAGCAGGCAACAGAGCGATGCAAGGATGGGGGGAGTCCCCAGGGATGGGGGGAGATGCGTGCAGGGAAGTGGCTGGGAGCAGGACAGGCAGAGCTGGCTGGGCTCAGGCTGCTGGCACTGACAGCAACAAGCCACCTGATGGCTCCTCCACCTTCCTGGGAAGGAGGAGAGGAGCTCCTGGTGCCCACAGCAGAGAAACAAAGCTGAGAGTGATTCCTCCACCCCATCACAGGGGGAGATCAGGCACGTCCCGACCACCCCGGCTGCCTGGTGAGACCGGTGCTGCTGGAAACAGGCTCTGGGGCTGAGACTGGCCTGCCCAGCACGGATGTGTGAGGGGACTCACCTTCAGGATGTTGGTGACAGTGGGCTCGGCCCTCAGGATGAGCCCTGGGTTTGGCTGGATGTTGGCGTTCTCGGCCGATTTCAAGTGCGGGGCGTGTTCTCTGTCCGCTGCCCTGGGGAAGCCAGCGAGCAGGAATTCCTCACCCTGCCCTGCCCTCAGCCACCTCCCACCCATCTCCACCATCGAGGAAAGGCCACCACCTCAGGCCAGTAACAGCTGCCACTCCCAGAGGACAGACTTTTCCTCAATCTGTCACTGGAAGCAAAGCCTCGTCCCTCCAGGCCACGGTGTCCCAGCTGCAGGACAGCCAGTGCCATCACAGCTGGTCCTTTCTGCTCCCCCCCAGCAAGGATGGCAAGACAAGGTGCTCCAACCCCACTCTTTTACCCAGATTTTTGAGGGGGCTGTACCGTTTGTCAATCAGGTTGTCCATGTTGGCCTCTGAAAGCAGCCCCTGCTTGCTGCACTCCTGCAGGAGCAGATCCATGCAGTCACAGCTGAAAGAGAGAGAGAGGAGAGTGTTACCCCGAGGGACAGCATTCCTGCTGCCCGGGGTGGTGCTGCGGGGCAAGGGGCACTCCTGGGTTGCCCTCCTGGCCCCGCACCCACCCTCTGAGGCTGCTTCAGGGCCAAAAGCAGCCCCAGATATCACACAGCATCACCAAAACACTGTTCAGCTGTCAGACACTCACTGCCTCGCTCATTTGGCAGGTTCAGGAATCACAGAAGGAAGAAGGAATTGGATCAGAAACTATAAAAAGCCTCGCCAGGAGCAGAGAGGACGGGGTGGTTGTGACACAGAGTGGCCACAGGCTCGTGGTGCTGCAGGTGGGCCCCGTGCACAGCCAGCACTCACTTGCATCGCTGATCCACTTTGTCGAGCAGCGGGGTCAGCTTCAGCAGGAACTCGAAGGCACAGTTCACGTCCTCGGTGAAGTCCTGCAAAGCCCAAAGCCCAGCGCTCAGCTCGGAGCCCACCTTCCCCCCCCACGCCGCCCGCTCCCTTAGAGGAAGATTGTTGGGAAAGAAAAGAAAGCCAATGGCATTCTGGCTTGTATTAGAAATAGTGTGACCAGCAGAAGTAGGGAGGTGATTGTGCCCCTGGACTCAGCACTGGGGAGGCCACACCTCGAGTGTTGTGTCCAGTTTTGGGCACCTCAATCCAAGAGAGATCTCGAGGTGCTGGAGCGAGTGCAGAGGAGGGCAACGAAACTAGTGAAGGGCCTGGAAGACAAATCATATGAAGAGCGGCTGAAGGAGCTGGGGCTGTTTAGTATGAGGAAGAGGAGGCTGAGGGGAGACCTCATCACTCTCTACAACTACTTGAAAGGACACTGTAGAGAGGTTGGTGCTGGTCTCTTCTCACAGGTAATTAGTGACAGAACGAGAGGGAACGGCTTCAAGCTCCAACAGGGGAGGTTTAGATTGAACATTAGGAAGGAATTTTTCACCCAAAGAGTGGTCGGGCATTGGAACAGGCTGCCCAGGGAGGGGGTGGAGTCCCCATCCCTGGCTGTGTTTAAGGGCCGTTTAGATGCAGTGCTGAGGGACATGGTGTAGGGGAGGACTTTGTAGAGTAGGGGAGATGGTTGGACTCCATGATCCCAAGGGTCTCTTCCAACCTCAATGATTCTATGATTCTATGAAATAGGCCATTTCCTACCCCAGTCACCCCCATGCAGCTTTGGCCAGGGACCAGCACCGTTGTGACAAACACAGCTCCGTGGCGCGCACAACGCGGCCAACAGCTCCAACCGCTGGCCCTCGAGACTCACCTTCTCCCCTTGGGGATACTTCTTGAGTTTAACCAGGACCTGGGGGATCTGAAAGACACAGAGGGTGGCTCTGACTGATGGAGGCAGACCCCATTCCCCAGTCAGGACCTCCCAGGAACACGGGGAGCAGCCACACCAAACACCCCTGCGTGTTTCCAGCCCGGGGAAAGGAGCGTTTCTGGAGCAGCCCCTGCGCCCAGAGGACTTTGTGCCCCTGCCCTTCCCTCTGCAGGGTCCTTCCAGCACCACGGGGAGCCACAGGGCACGGCCACCCTCCCCACAGCCAGGCAGGGGACACGTCTCAGGCCTGAAATTACACGCAGATCCCCTTTGTCTGGCACAAAGAAAGGAGGGGAAGCAGACTGCTCCGGGGCTGCCCACCGCTGAGCTGTGGGAGCGCAGGCCCCGAGGCTGCTGTGGCACCACGATTTTCCCCTCATACCATCCCGAAAAACGCAAAAACAAAGTGGGGCTGGGCTGAAAAGAAGGCCTGGACAGCAAAGCTGATGTTCAGCGGGTTGGAGGAGGGTTGTTGCAGGCTCAGCTGGGGTGTGGGGGGACCCCGAGGGCCACGCTGTGGGAGAGAAGAAGCGATTGCCCTGCCAGGGCTCAGCACTCAGCAGGGGCAGGCAGGGAAAAGGCAGCAGCAGAGCCAGGGCTGGAAGCACTGCGTTCGCTGTGGGGCTGGGCCCTACCTTCAGGAAGGTGAAGGCTGTCCACTTCAGCTCCTCCGTGCCCTCGGGGGACTCGATGAGGCCCACAAAACAGGCCTTCCAGATCTCCAGCACGAAGAGCGGGGAGGGGATGCGCTGTGGGGCACACAGACAAAATGCTCCAGTGCTGGAAAGGCAACAAAAGTGCCTCCCCCAACCAGAGCCAAACCCCGAGCCCCCTGTGAAGGTGTTGATGGGCTCCTGCTGCTCCCTGCAGCTGCGCCCATACCCTTGGACCAGGATCAGTATGGGGAGGTACGGAGCGCAGAGCTTACAGCAAGGCACTGGTCCCACAGCCCCCAGGCCACCCTGAGCAGGAGAACAAGATGCTACTTCTGTACCTGCATCCTCTTCACCATCATCAGCTGCTCCACCAGCGGCTGGGTCTCTCCTGTGAGGTTCATGGTCCCTTCCAGCAGCACCACGGCATGTACGGTGGGGAAGCCGGTCTTGTTCAGCTGCTCGGAGTGGACGGAGAGCATGGTGGGGATGCTGGGTGGGAGAAGACAGCACAGGATCACTGAAACCTTGCAGGGACAGATCCTTCCTCCTCCTGTCCCATCCTCCTCTCCCAGCCAAGCCCCTGACACTTGCTGTCCCACATCTCTCTAGGGCAGGGCCCTGGGAGCAGCTCCAGGGGGATCCAGAGCAGGGAGGGCAGCTCTGGTGTGGCCAGAGGAGCTGAGGGATGGTGAGGGACCTCAGAGAAGCAACCCCTGGGTAAGACTCCTTCACAGCAAGTCACCACTAGCCCTGTCTCCTCTCCTACCCCAGAGCCTCTCAGCCCACAGCTGGTGCAGGTGTCCGAGGTGGGAAGGGACAGGGGAGGAGGGAGCCAGCAGGCTCTTGGCCCCAGAGCAGGGCTTGGCCCCATTTTACCCTCCCAGCCCGCAGAGACAGCAACACAAAGCTACCTCTTGATGAGGGAGATGCAGTCATCGGCCCGGCTTCGCAGCGTGGAGTTGCCCAGGCTGTTCACGTTCTCCCCCAGCTTGAGGAGGGACTGTTCTACAGCACTCCAGGAGGCTGGGGAGGGAGGGCAGACATTCAGTGGGGCAGGGAGGGACAGTGACACGCTGAGAAGCCGGGCAGGCTGGCTCCAAGGCCCATGGCAGAGCCTGCCGAGGCTGGGGCTCGCGGTGAGCAGAAGTCAGCGCACCTCTGCAAACCCAAGCCGAGGGTCTACGTGCCACCCAGCAGCTCCTGTCCCAGGCTCAGCCTGGCACAGCCTCTTGGCAAAGTGCAGGCACCGAGGGGAAGGTGCGGGGCTGTGCCAGGGACGCCGGCGGAGTGCAGGACCCGCTGCGCGCCCAGGAACAGCTCACGCAGCCTTCATATTAATTCTGCTCCTCTTCCAAGGGCAGCAGGGAGGGGAGGGGGCAGAGGGTGGCACGGAGCCAGGGAGGAGACGGTTACAGCAACAGGGCTGGAAGATGGATGGGCTTGGAGCCGCAGGGACAATGCGGCAAGGAGCTGGGCAGGGGGAAGGGAGAGGTGGCAATGACACCACGTCCCCAGGGCCAGCAGCGGCTCGGAGGAAGCAAGCCCTGGCAGAGGGTGCCACGGGGCAAGGCAGGGGCAGCCACAGCCACACATACACGTCTCCTCCAGCTTCGCGATGTGGATCAGGGCACGGTTCTTGGTGCTGCTGAGCATCTTCCCCAGCCTCTCCAGACACATCTTGAGCTGGCTCTCCGCCGCCGCCTGCTCCAGCGCCTCCTTCACCTTCTCGGCGTAGAAGGCCGCGCAGCGCAGGAGCCAGTTGAGGGCACTCATCAGCGCCCGGCAGAGCCCGATGCACTCCTCTGCTTTGCCATGGCAGCTGGGAAAGGGGAGAGAAACGGGACCCTGCTCACCGTGGGCCGGGTTACCGGGCCCAGAGAAACCAAGGTACAGAAACGGGGCAGGCTGGGGAAGCCAAACCCACATCCCCAGTGCTCCCAGTCTGCTGCAGATCTCAACCCGCTCAGCCCAGGCTGGATATTAGGAAAAAATTTTTCACTGAAAGGGTTCTCAGCCATTGGGATGGGCTGCCCAGGGAGGTGGTTGAGGCACCATCCCTGGAGGTGTTCAAAAGCCGGGTTGATGTAGTGCTGGGAGGGATGGTTTAGTGATGATGCTCCTTGTTTGTTGTGTGGGTGACTATTTTTGTCAGTCAGGTTGACGGTTGGACAAGATGATCTTTAAGGTCCCTTCCAACCTAGAAGATTCTGTGATTCTGTGAATCCCCGCTGTGCCAGGGGAAATAAAGTCTCCCCAGCACAGCCTCCTCTCTGGCCACTCTACCGCAGGGAAACTTTCCAAGCCTCTAATCAAATTATCTTGCTAAGAGAGGCTCAGCGTTGATCAATGCGCTGCGAGAGGTGAGCGCTTTCCCCTCCTGATGCACAAATCATCAGGGCCAGAAGTTTTGATCAAATTAAGCAGAGGATCAGATTAGGCAAGGACTGGATTAAGCAGCCGGCTCTGCAGTTGGCCAGCAACAGCTCCTTGTCAACATCTGTGACTGATGCATATTCATTGCTGCTGCTTCATTTCATGTAATTGAAGAGCTGCTACCTTCATCCCTCCTCCTCCTCCTCCTCTCCCGCTGCCCCCTGCCACGTGCTGTCTGTTCCAGCCTCCCAGAAGAGGCTGTCAGTCAGGGGTTAACAGGAAGATTTCCCAGCTTTCTAAAAAAGTTTTTTTTTTGTGGCCTGAATGGTCTGGACTCCCCTGGGTCCTGCAACACCAGCGGAAGAGCACGAAGCAAAACAAGGCAGCTGCCTGGAGAGCCTGGGGCAGCGCAGGCAGGACTGTGAGTGCTGGCAAACAGGGACGTGTAGCCGAGGCCCTGGGAAGCTGCAGAGGCCACAGGAGAGAAATTAAATGCTCTGAGGGGACAGACATCCTCAGGTCACAGGGCTTACACCCCCCTCCATTCACCTGAGCCAGGCTGGGATATCAGAGCAGAGGTGTTTATCCCAGAATATGGGGGTTTCTTGCAGCTTCCCACAAAGTCAGTGGGTTTCCCCTCTGCTCTCCCCATGCTGGCCCTCACGTGGCAGCCCAGCCCGAGGGGGACAGCAACGAGGGACAGGCTGGAGGGCAAAGCTGCCTCCCTCTGCCAGGGTGAGTATCTGGGGCTCAGCCGGGCCCCACAGGCTCCCAATATGACCCATGGTACAGCCCAGGGCCACGGCAGCAGGGCTGGAAGGACCACAGCGTACCTGAGGCGGTCGCAGAACATGTCCATGATCTCCAGCAGCGACTGGACACACAGGTCCCGAGAGAAGTCATCGAACTAGAGGAGGAAAACAAGGAAAGATTTCAGATGGGGGCTGCCGGGGGGCTCCAGGCACCTCTGAAAACAAACACCACCCCTTCCTCCACGGGCAGGGCAGGGCACTGCTGGCCACAGGACGCTCGCCCTGGCAGCTGCCCAGCAGCCACTTGAATGAGAACTAGGTCAGGACTGTCCGACGGCCGGGTCGTGCCCTCCCGGGGTCGCGGGAGGCAACAGGGCCACGGCAAACGGGGAGGCAACGAGGCTGGGGTTTTCTCAGCAGCTTCCCCAAGACGTTGGCGGGGGCTTGAGCTCCCCCTCCCCGCCGGCTGCCTTGCCGCGGCCGTGGCTCGGTGCCCACCCCCGGCTCGGCGGCGCTGGCAGCGCCAACAGCCCGGCTGGCCGCGGGGCCGGGAGGGCGGCGGGCAGCAGAAGCGTGGCTCCCCGCCTCCTCACAGAGCAGATGGGGCCACCCCGCCGGGCCGGAGCTAGCCCGCAGGTCTGCTCTCGGGCCCACGCTGATCTGAAGGAGGAAGCCTCGGCTGTCAAGGTCAGCTCTTCTGCCCACCCTGCCAGAACAGGCAGCCATGCACAACCGGGGGAATGGTGAGGAGCTTGTGCCGTTCAGAGCCACCATGCTCAATGTCAGCCGGCCATACACTGGCTCTGCCCTCCCCTAGGATCACGACCACCAGCCCAGAAGGGTGCTGAGCCCCCCTGGAGGGATCCCCACCCTCGCTGGGGCTTTATGGCACAGCTCTAAGTTCATCCCAAAACAACACTGGCACGGCGTGGCTACCAGCACCTTTCCATCCCTGGAGGTGTTCAAAAGCCGGGTTGATGTAGTGCTGGGAGGGATGGTTTAGTGATGATGCTCCTTGTTTGTTGTGTGGGTGACTATTTTTGTCAGTCAGGTTGACGGTTGGACAAGATGATCTTTAAGGTCCCTTCCAACCTAGAAGATTCTGTGATTCTGTGAATCCCCGCTGTGCCAGGGGAAATAAAGTCTCCCCAGCACAGCCTCCTCTCTGGCCACTCTACCGCAGGGAAACTTTCCAAGCCTCTAATCAAATTATCTTGCTAAGAGAGGCTCAGCGTTGATCAATGCGCTGCGAGAGGTGAGCGCTTTCCCCTCCTGATGCACAAATCATCAGGGCCAGAAGTTTTGATCAAATTAAGCAGAGGATCAGATTAGGCAAGGACTGGATTAAGCGGCCGGCTCTGCAGTTGGCCAGCAACAGCTCCTTGTCAACATCTGTGACTGATGCATATTCATTGCTGCTGCTTCATTTCATGTAATTGAAGAGCTGCTACCTTCATCCCTCCTCCTCCTCCTCCTCTCCCGCTGCCCCCTGCCACGTGCTGTCTGTTCCAGCCTCCCAGAAGAGGCTGTCAGTCAGGGGTTAACAGGAAGATTTCCCAGCTTTCTAAAAAAGTTTTTTTTTTGTGGCCTGAATGGTCTGGACTCCCCTGGGTCCTGCAACACCAGCGGAAGAGCACGAAGCAAAACAAGGCAGCTGCCTGGAGAGCCTGGGGCAGCGCAGGCAGGACTGTGAGTGCTGGCAAACAGGGACGTGTAGCCGAGGCCCTGGGAAGCTGCAGAGGCCACAGGAGAGAAATTAAATGCTCTGAGGGGACAGACATCCTCAGGTCACAGGGCTTACACCCCCCTCCATTCACCTGAGCCAGACTGGAATATCAGAGCAGAGGTGTTTATCCCAGAATATGGGGGTTTCTTGCAGCTTCCCACAAAGTCAGTGGGTTTCCCCTCTGCTCTCCCCATGCTGGCCCTCACGTGGCAGCCCAGCCCGAGGGGGACAGCAACGAGGGACAGGCTGGAGGGCAAAGCTGCCTCCCTCTGCCAGGGTGAGTATCTGGGGCTCAGCCGGGCCCTGCAGGCTCCCAATATGACCCATGGTACAGCCCAGGGCCACGGCAGCAGGGCTGGAAGGACCACAGCGTACCTGAGGCGGTCGCAGAACATGTCCATGATCTCCAGCAGCGACTGGACACACAGGTCCCGAGAGAAGTCATCGAACTAGAGGAGGAGAACAAGGAAAGATTTCAGATGGGGGCTGCCAGGGGGCTCCAGGCACCTCTGAAAACAAACACAACCCCTTCCTCCACGGGCAGGGCAGGGCACTGCCGGCCACAGGACGCTCGCCCTGGCAGCTGCCCAGCAGCCACTTGAATGAGAACTAGGTCAGGACTGTCCGACGGCCGGGTCGTGCCCTCCCGGGGTCGCGGGAGGCAACAGGGCCACGGCAAACGGGGAGGCAACGAGGCTGGGGTTTTCTCAGCAGCTTCCCCAAGACGTTGGCGGGGGCTTGAGCTCCCCCTCCCCGCCGGCTGCCTTGCCGCGGCCGTGGCTCGGTGCCCACCCCCGGCTCGGCGGCGCTGGCAGCGCCAACAGCCCGGCTGGCCGCGGGGCCGGGAGGGCGGCGGGCAGCAGAAGCGTGGCTCCCCGCCTCCTCACAGAGCAGATGGGGCCACCCCGCCGGGCCGGAGCTAGCCCGCAGGTCTGCTCTCGGGCCCACGCTGATCTGAAGGAGGAAGCCTCGGCTGTCAAGGTCAGCTCTTCTGCCCACCCTGCCAGAACAGGCAGCCATGCACAACCGGGGGAATGGTGAGGAGCTTGTGCCGTTCAGAGCCACCATGCTCAATGTCAGCCGGCCATACACTGGCTCTGCCCTCCCCTAGGATCACGACCACCAGCCCAGAAGGGTGCTGAACCCCCCTGGAGGGATCCCCACCCTCGCAGGGGCTTTATGGCACAGCTCTAAGCTCACCCCAAAACAACGCTGGCACGGCGTGGCTACCAGTGCTTTTTTCCTCCTGTCCCCTAGTAACCAGGAGGAGGTGGGAGGAAAGAAATTCTTCTCCCTTAAATTATTCTTCCTTCACAGAATCTTCTAGGTTGGAAGGGACCTTAAAGATCATCTTGTCCAACCATCACAGACCAGAGATCGCCCTGACAAGGCTAGTGCCGGGGGAGGGTGGGCTGCGGCGGGGAGGCTATGGCTCCTTCCAGAGAGGCCCCAAACACCGAGCAGAGGTGGCCACAGAGGGTTGACCCCCACCCGAGTGGCACGGGGCCACCGAGCAGCCGTGGGAAGCCGGGCTGGTGGCCACAGCCGCACGGCTCGGGTGCTGGCAGCCCTCCCTCGTGAGCGGCGCCGTGTTTCCCCATCGCCAGCTCCGGATCCCCACGGCGCTGCCAACGCCGCCGGCCACAGAGGGATGTGGTTTTCCAGCAGCCGGGGCGTGGTTTACACACACAGGGCGCTGCGGGGCAGGAGCCTGCCAGGCCCCACACGACGGGAGGGAAGGAGGTTTTCACACCCACAGCCGTCCCCAAAAGCAGAGCGGGACCTGGCAGCCTGTCCCCAGCGGGACACGGAACGACTCGGGCACTAATCTGCACCGTCTGAGCGCTGCTGACTCAGCAGAGGATGTCGTTTTCCACTTGACCTATATTCGGTGAGAGTTGTGGGGAGGGAAATGGATACGTGGGTCACAGGGAAAGAGGGGAAAAAAAAAAAACAAAACCTCAGAGAGCACCTGCCGGAGCCGTACCTTGCTGATGGCCATCAGGACGGTGGAATAAGACACCATCTAGGAATAAAACAAACCACAAAATCAAAACAAAAGGGATGCGGCGGCGCGTTCGGCGGGTGATGTTTGCCAGCGCGGGGCTGGTTGCTGAGGAACAGCAAGGTCAGGGCACGGCCCCGGCTGCCTGTCACCGCCACAGACGGGGCCGGGGCGCTGACCCGGCACAAATCCAAACAGACATTTTTAGGTGAGGGCTGATTCCGTTTCGCACAAAACTTGAGGCGATACGAAAACGTCGCGCTGAGGAAGCGCAGAGCTCCCAGCGAGCGCCGAGGCTCTCGGAGGGCAAAGATTCCCACCCCACAAGTGATGGGCAGAGGAGATTTAAGGCTCTCGGAGGGCAAAGATTCCCACCCCACGAGCGATGGGCAGAGGAGATTTAATTTCACTGAATTTTAGAGTTGGAAGGGACCATAGAGATCATCTAGTCCAACTCCCCTGCTGAAGCAGGATTGCCTAGAGCTTGTCAGAGCATGTTACTCAGGAGCATCCAGGTGGGTCTTGAAAATCTCCAAAAAAGGGGCTCCACACCCTCCCTGGGCAGCCTGTTCCAGGGCTCTGCCACCCTCACTGGGAAGAAGTTTCTCCTCATATTTGAGTGGAACCTCTTCTGTTCCAACTTGTGCCCGTTGCCCCTCGTCCTCTCACTGGGAACCACTGAAAAGAGTCTGGCTCCCTCCTCCTTCAACCCTCCCTTGAGATATTTGTCAGCATTGATAAGGTCTCCCCTCAGCCTTCTCTTCTCCAGACTAAAGAGTCCCAGCTCTCTCAGTCTCTCCTCATAAGGGAGATGCTCCAATCCTTGAATCATCCTTGTTGCCCTTCGCTGGACTCTTTCCAGTAGTTCCCTGTCCCTCTTGAACTGGGGAGCCCAGAACTGGACGCAGTACTCTAGTTGTGGCCTCACCAGTGCAGAGTAGAGGGGGAGAATGACTTCCCTTGACCTGCTGAAACACCCCTGGCTCGGGCTGAACCCTCCAATGCCCACCCAAGCCCTGGGGAGGCACTGATGGGAGATTTGGGGTGTCTGCCCACCACCAGCTCCACACCCCGGGTTCCTTGCCCACCTGCAAACTGCCAAGTGACACCCAGCAGCATCTGCAGCGCGAGATGGCGCGGGGAGCGTGGTTACCTGGGAGCTGATGGCGTATTTCAGGTAGGACAAGATGAGTGGGTTCGGCGACGGCCCGATCATCGCCTGCTCGAGAAGAGCCTCTGCAAGCAAAGGAGAGGGGCCAACGTGTTACACAGGTGTGGGGACACACACACACACGCACGCTCTGCCCTCACCCCGCAGGACAAGTGGCAAAGGACAAATCCTGCTCACCGCAGCGACTCCGCACCGCTCTTCCCTGAAACTAACTGAAATCCCACAACTTTCTAATCCCCGATGGCAAAAGCCGGTAAATAATTCAGGCAGCAGCAAGGAGCCTCCTGCTAACTCAGCTCTCCCCGGGCACCCTGGCCCCGAAACAGTGCCTGCTGCTTTCCAAACACGTTCCCCTCCCTCCCACGTCCTGCCCAGGAGGTTCTTGTATCCTCCACCGAGTGATTTTTACTCCGGCACCTGGGGCTGAACCCGGGGCAGACAGCCCCCTCTCTGCTGGGCCCAGCCCTGTGTGTCTGGCCCTCCCTGCCGCCGGCTGCCTGCCAGCCCCGACCCGCGGGTGCTGGAGGGGCTCTTGCCCGTCCTATCTGCTCAGTCAAGCCTTTAATTGACCATTTGAACTATGGCAGAGCGCAGGAACTACCTCCTGAAAGCAGGCCCCGGGCTGCGGCACGGGCTGTAAGTAGGTCAAAGCGCCCAGATGCAAGAGGGGGGAATTTGGGAAGCCTTTTGGGAAGTTGTCGCCCCAAAGACAAGGAGGAGGAGGAGCAGGAGACTCCCTGGGTCTCACTCGAAGGCTCAGGCCTCGGCCAAAAGCATCTCAGCTCAAGGACAGAAGGCTAATGGCAGCCTTCCCCTCCCCATCTAATCAGGGAGTGTCAACACGAGCCAGCCACATGCTGTTACCCACTGCAGACGTGTCAGCATAGATTTGCTGGGCACCGCCGTGATCCTGGCAGCCCGTGCCAGCTTCTGCTCCTTTTGTAGTTGAAATCTCAAAGGCAGGAGCTTGGGAAAGGACAGCTCTAGGGCTGTGGAGAGAGGCAGCGGTTGTTACAGCCACGGGGGCCTCAGGAAGAGCCTCTCCATGTGCCCAGCACAACGCTCCTGCTGCCCGGGACGGCGTCGGTGTCAGGACTCTCCCCCGGCAGCGGGGAGAGAGGGACCCAGCTCCCTCCCTGTCCCTGCAGAGGGGCTGCCCTCCAACGAAGCCTGGGCTAACGAGGCACTGAGGAGTGGCCAGGAGAAATCATAGAATGGTTCAGGTTGGAAGAGACCCTTGGGATCATCGAGTCCAACCATCTCCCCTACTCTACAAAGTCCTCCCCTACACCATGTCCCTCAGCACTGCATCTAAACGGCCCTTAAACACAGCCAGGGATGGGGACTCCACCCCCTCCCTGGGCAGCCTGTTCCAATGCCCGACCACTCTTTGGGTGAAAAATTCCTTCCTAATGTTCAGTCTAAACCTCCCCTGTTGGAGCTTGAAGCCGTTCCCTCTCGTTCTGTCACTAATTACCTGGGAGAAGAGACCAGCACCAACCTCTCTACAGTGTCCCTTCACGGAGTTGTAGAGAGTGATGATTCGTTGCCCTCCTCTGCACTCGCTCCAGCACCTCCAGATCTCTCTTGGATTGAGGTGCCCAAAACTGGACACAACACTCGAGGTGTGGCCTCACAGGGATTTATTCTCTCTGACCTGGCCTCGGGCTGCACAAAGCTGCCACCCTGCTTTTGGGGATACGTAGACGGGCCCACACCAAGCGCCCCACGAGCAGAACGGGAGCTGCCAGGCCGGGAACAGGCACCAGGGAGCCCCAGGGGCCAGCTGGCCAGCAGCAGGGCTGGCCCTCGAGCCAACCATCCCCCGCATGCCCCAGTGCTGCGTTCCCAGCCCCAGCTCCCCCAGCCTCTCCCTGAGCAAATCTGTCACCACAGCCAGGCCCCACAGCTCCAGCTCGGCTCCTCCAGCCCCACATCACCGTGGGGACTGGGCACATCATAGAATCATAGAGTCATAGAAATGCCCAGGCCGGAAGGGACCTCCAAAGGTCATCTAGTCCGACCCCCCCGCAGTCAGCAGGGACACCCCCAACTAGACCAGGTTGCCCAGTCGAGCCTCTCCTTGAATATCTCCAGGGAAGGGGCCTCAACCACCTCCCTGGGCAACCTGTTCCAGTGCTCCACCACCCTCACAGTGAAGAACCCTCTCCTCATCTCCAGTCTAAATCTGTTCCCCTCCAGCTTGAAGCCATTGCCCCTCGTCCTGTCACTGCAGGCCTTTCTAAACAGGCTCTCCCCAGCCTTCCTGTAGCCCCTTCAGGTACTGGAAGGCTGCTATTAGGTCTCCCCAGAGCCTCCTCTTCTCCAGGCTGAACAACCCCAGCTCCCTCAGCCTGTCCTCGGAGCAGAGGTGCTCCATCCCCCTGATCATCCTTGTGGCCCTCCTCTGGACCTGCTCCATCAGGTCCATGTCCTTCTTATATTGAGGGCTCCAATGGGGACAACGACCATGGGGACAAACCCAGCCTGAGGAGCTCAGCCATGAGGTTTGACAAAACCCACCACCACGGGCCAGACGCTGCCAGAAGAAAGGGGCAAGGAGTGCTGCTGCCTGCGCCGGGGCTATTTCCCTTTAAATCCCCCTGGTGCAGCAATCCTGGAGCAGGGCTCTGTTTATTTATCCAGCAAACAGGCGTTTGCAGCACAGAAAAAAAACAAAAAAAACCCAAAACACACAACCTAGCAACAAGTTTCTATAATTGGCATAAAAGCCTGGCAAATCTTTAAACCGGGGCGCTCAGCAGGTACCAGCGCCTGGCGGGATTTGTGTCAAACGCCCTTGAATAGGGACAGGAAAAGAAACCCCAAAAACTGAGGGTGGGAAGTGGCCTTCGGGGCAGCACCTGGCTCCTTCACAGCGCTTTTCCCTCCTTTGGGGAGACACACTGAGGGGACGTTATCCCTCACGTTGGGGGAAACTGAGGCAGGTAGCAAGAACCTGTGTGCAGGCAGGTGGTGAGCGGTGATGGGGCAGAGCCCTACGGAACCATTGCAGTCCCTAAAGGGGCTCCAGGAAAGCTGGGGAGGGACTTTTTATCAAGGAATGGAGCCATAGGATGAAGGTGAACAGTTTTAAATGAAAGGAGAGAAGATTTACATGAGATCTGGGGAAGAACTTCTTTGCTGTGAGGGTGGGGAGAGCCTGGCCCAGGTTGCCCAGAGAAGCTGTGGCTGCCCCACCCCTGGAGGGGTTCAAGGGCAGGTTGGACGGGGCTTGGAGCAACGTGGTTCAGTTGAAAATGTCCCTGTCCAGGGAAGGGGGTTGGACTAAATGGCCTTTGAGGTCCCTTTCCACTTAAATCACTCCATGATTCTGTGAATCCAGCATTTTGGCATGTGTTGCTGCAGCCAGTGGTGATCTCAGCCCTGCTGGGGTGTCCTGGAGGCCAGCCCTCCACCACAGGCTG